CCCAGCAGGGAGGTGGCAGTTCTGGTCCTTACTGAGGAAGACAGAGGCAAAGAAGTTATTAAATATGTTGGCTTTGTCATCTGGCGTGACAACCAGATTCCCCGTCTTGTCCTGTAAGGGCCCCACATTTCCTGGGGCCTTATTTCTACTCCCTATGTACTTAAAAAAGGACTTCTTGTTGTCCTTAATCCACCACTGAAGCAGAATCAGCACTGGGCTGAACAACAGCTGCTCTTTAACAGCCCATGGGACCTTGACCAACCTGTCAGGATAGGAAATGGAGAACAGTGAATTTGCTGGAATGATGTAGAATCTACTCAAGCTGGAATTTAGCTAGGACAGTCACACACACTGCTGTGGGAGGAGACCTTTAATCACCTTAGTTTAATTACCAATGCACTGGTCAAGATCTTTGTTTAAATTCTACCCATTGGATGGCAGCTCTAGAGGCACATTGCACGTGACATGCTGATGAGGCACTAGCTCAGAAAAAAGCTAGGCACTTAATCCCTAGCTCCACTTGATGCAGGATGCTGGTGTTCCTCGCCAATGCTAAAGTTCAGTATCAGGTAACTGGAATGGATGGCAGCAGGACTGTCTAGAGACACATTCCTGGAAGTGTCAGCAACTCTGCAAACAATGAGCATAAGCAAGAAACAAGAGTTACCTTCATCAACTGGCTGATTATCCTCCCAGCTCTTGATATAGTCATCCTGGGGAACAAGAAAGAGAGGGGGAGAGAGGGAGAACAGCTTAGTCAATGGAAATACCAAATGTGAGAATCGATGTTCAGAACTACAAGCCTGATGATCAGTGATTAAAGATAACACTGGCCTGAAGAGGTAACAATAATGCTTCACTGACAACTGGGGCTTGGAGGACAGTCACACTGACACTTGCAAAGACAATTTAAAGGTTCCTATTATATATATTTATTATTTCCTTCAGGATTGCTAGAGAAGTGAAAACAGCCAATCATTGTTCAAGTAGGCCCTATGGGGAATTCCCTTTGCCCAGCACAGCTGTAGCAGTGTACCTTCACCTTGGGATACGTCTATAGGGCATGGTGTAGTCCCAGACTGATACACCCCCAGTAGTCTTCAGTGACTTAACTTGGGCACCAGGAGCAGTAAACAGCTGTTACACAGAGATCTGTCTAGGTGAAGCACCATGCTATCGGCTTCCAGTACCCATGCTAGCTCATTCAGACATAGCTTAGGTCTCTCTGCATGACACAGCGTTGTGCTGTGTAGATATACCCCAGCTGGGGCCTCTGGTGCATTCAAGTCCTGGCTATCGTAAATGCTGGCACAGCTGTGCGAATGTCAGTGCGCTGCTCAGTCAGTACCTACCCACATTATTAAAGGTGCTGAGCAAATTACATTTCTTGGGAAAGGAAAACACATGTCTTTTGTCTCCGACTCCCTGATCTTGAAAAGCAATTGATCATTCCTGGTGACTCAGCACTGAAGTCCCTCAAGCCACTCCAGCCCCGATGGCCACCTTTGTCTGCTCCAAGCAACAAGGCTGAAGCAGGATACTACTCTAGCCAGTGCTGTTCTTTTTAAGGCAAAGAAGCAGTGAGTGAAGGATACAACTAGAGGTGCAGTAAAAACGCGGAAGTGTAAGAGCTGCGACTTTATTGGCGGGCCCAAAATTTACATGTTGCAGGTGGGAAACTGAGCTCACTTGCCCAAGTCAAAACAGGGAGTCCAAGTCCCTGCCCCCTGCTCAGGCAGCCTGACAACCACTTCCGCTGTCACACTGTGCAGGACTTAAACCCACAAGCCTCCTTTGTTTGTGGAGTCGCCAGATTTGGAAAGCTACCAACAGTTAGCAGCACTAGCATAATCAGTGACGCTGCTCTCCTTGAAAATGTTTTTCAAGGCAGAATCAAATGCAGGAAACAACAACAAAGAGCAGAAGCAGATGGAGGGGTTCAACAGTTAATGACTCCATGCTATAGGGAAAGGGGCCACCATTGCTGTGCAGTGCCAGTGCTGGATCCGTTCAGGTTTCTCCTTGGGGTTCTCTTACCTGTGCTACCCCCAAACAAACACTGTTGCTATGCTCTGGGATGCACCTTTATGGTTTGTCACTTGCTGCTTAGGCCTATTAAGAATAGTGCTGATGTAAGAAGAACAGGGTCTTCCTTGCTTTTTGTACAGTGCCAAGCACGGTGTCAATGTACAAGTGACATCAACAGATGATAATATCATGTGCATATCAATTAGAATACTACTACCAGTACTACTCCATGTGTATCATTATATAACAACCACCTCCCTGACAGGTATTTGCTAAGTCCTTCAGTGGTACCTGCTTTTTGCTGACAGTTGCACAGGCAATTTCTTGGGGAGAAATTGTACACAGGGCTAGCACAAGGCCTATACAGCACTGCAATTCCACTTCAGTGGTCCTTTGCATAAGGATAAATCTTCCTTTTGTGCATGAACAAAGGCATGTGTGTATGGGCACAGATACATATGCAAAAGCAACCACAGTCACATACCTGCTCCTCTTGGCCATACTTTATGCAGCATGCAACTGTTCAAGTCAACTCCTGCTAAGCCAGGGGGAGTGGTCAAGGATGAAAGAACAGAAAGGATAACACAGATGCCCTGTAAAATTAAATGGAACCAGATTCAAAAATCAATATTCACTCACCTCCACCTCCTGGGAATGCAGGCCGCAGCAGAAGAGTAGGTAAAAAAAAAAAAGGTGGGGGGGTGAGGGGGAGAGAGAAGAGAACACACATGAAATAAAGACACAGCTAGGGCTCTGGCTGCAGAAGTGAGCCAGATTTGTGATCAAACAGACTATTTCTTTGTTTAAATTCCCTGAAATGTCAGAATTAATTTCCTCTAAGTGATGTGTTTTTATAAAGACTCCCCCAATGCATCTTTCCTGCTTTCCCAATTTGCATTCATTAAATCATACTACTGTCACAATGGCAACAATGAAATTAGATTGCGGGGACAAAACTCAAGATGAATGCTGATCATTCAGTGCTTTATTTAAGCAGCAGCACCTCTTCCAAGACATTCTGGTTACCTCTGGGAGCAGAAGCAACTGTGTCTTGGCAGGTCTGTGTCATGTTTGGTGCACTTTAATTCACAGTAATTCTTATACAGCTTTCAACTGGGCTGTAATAAGTAACATTCAACAAGCCAAATTTAAGGTCCTTGCTGACAACAGAATCTTGACTTCCTTCCTGTTCTGCCAGCTTCCTAACACACTCTAGAGGCAAATATTTTAGACCCTAGGAAAGGGGACATTATATTTAGGAATGACCAGTAACCTATTCTAAGTTGCTTTGTCAGGGATTTAAACCAAACTACTGCCACCGTAGCATTACTTGGCTCCTGGTAAAATGAATGTCCCCATTCCTTTGGTCCCAGCTGTTCTCTTCAGCTCAATGTCCACATCCAGTGTTAATCTTCCTGTCTGACACATCCAAAAGCCTTGTGGGTGTTTATCAGCCACACCACATGCTGTATCAGCAGCAGCAGCAGCTGCAGTTCAGGAGAAGAGCTGTGTCCTATTCAGGTTTCACAGTTATACTAAATGGACTCTTGCCATGACAAAGCCTTCATTTCTGTGCAATGGATTTGGGGAATACCACATACGCTGATAGCATCCAGATAAGAGACTCGTGCTGGAAGAGATTCCACAAATACATCTGAATAGGGGGGGAAAAAGAAGCTGTGATGAGACAGCAGTCTTTGAAAGTCACTCATTGGCAACATAGATTCATAGATGTTAGGGTCAGAAGGAACCTCAATAGATCGAGTCCAATCCCCTGCATAGGTAGGAAAGAGTGCTGGGTTCAGATGACCCCAGCCAGATGCCCATCCAACCTCCTCTTGAAGACCCCCAGGGTAGGGGACAGCACCACCTCCCGTGGGAGCCCATTCCAGATTTTGGCCACTCTGCCTGCGAAAAAGTTCCTCCTAATGTCCAGTCTAAATCTGCTCTCTGCTAGCTTATGGCCATTATTTCTTGTGACCCCCAGGGGCACCTTGATGAGTAGAGCCTCACCAATTGCCTTCTGCACCCCCATCTTGTTCTCTAGGTACAGATGTCTGACTGCACTTTGTAAAAGAAATCAGGGGCTTGCCAGTCTGACCCACCTTGACACAGCTACATTCTTAGCGGACACTGGGCCCATTTTATAGGGACATCACATAAAAACTTCCTAGATTGGCCTCATTGTGTGATGCTGTTGGTTCCTTCAAGAATATTGCAGTATCAATGGGGGCTTCCCACTGCTGTTTCCAGGGGCCAGCACCAGAGCTCCGAGTGCCCCAGGCCATCTTTTATCCCTGCCAGCCTGCAGCCAACAAGTGCTTTGCTTTCCCTACATTCTGCTGCTGCTCTGTTCTCCACATGCCTTTCCTGCTTTTAGAAGGTCAGTACATTGTGGCTGGATCTGACAGGACCCAACATCAAATTCAGGTGTTGTGCTTTGCAAATGCACTAAATGCCTGTATTAGAGACCTTTCAATTAACTGAAAAATCCTTTAACCCTCTGGCTATTACTCTGCTAGCAGAGTATCTGCATATTCACATTGGCTCCCTTTTCATTTCTCAATAGGTTATACGCTGAAATTAAGGCCACCTCAGTGTCTAACATACATGAACCCCCCCCCCCCCGTGCCCCCCAGGCCCACTCCTGTCACCCTTCCTCTCCCACACAAGCTCACACACAGTTCTGAGTGAACGTGCACAGAAGCACATGCTATCTGCCACAACTCTCCTTCCCTCATCTTTCTAATGAGACCTGAGCTGTTGGTTCAGTCAGCCTTTCTGACACAGGTACTGTTTCTCAGTCTAGGCCCCAGTCCTGAGATGACAGAATTTTTATTTTCTGAACGAGTCAAAAAGTGGATTACAGGGACATCCATGCAAGGATGGTGTCCCTGTAAGGACATCAGCATGCTGTCTTCTGGATGAATGGGTGGAGGGGTCCCATATCAGGAAAGTCTTAACAACAGCAGTGTCTGTCCAATGAAGGCACAAACAGGGAAATGCCCTCTCTCAGGGCAATCGCTCTCTCTGCTTAGTATCTAACAGAACCTCTCTGTTCCTTCTTGTGGGACTCCCTCACAAGTCTGCAAGCACCTCTGATGACTCAATCCTGTTCCTTTCCCTTTGTTTTCCTTCCCTTCCTGGCTGAGTCTCAAACCACTTCCTCCTGGTGCTGGCAGGTTTCAGTACAGCTGGAGCCTCAGAATAAGAGAAATGGGCTGATGCTGCCATGCCCCAGCCAGGCTCAAAGGCATTGTGTGTCCCATCTGGCACTGGCGCTCTTTGTGGGGACAGCGATTCAGAGCAAGGCCAGAACAAAACAAATGTATTTTCTATTGAACACCCACTCAGGACTTCCAGCCCTGTCCACTCCCACCATCGTCGCTTTCAATGGCCCCAATCAGCCAAGCACGCAAAGCAGAACAAACAAGCTCCCTCTTCCTGAAGGAAATGGCACGTCGTCCAACCTGGCATGCTGCCACCCTGCAGCAGCTCTGCCAGTCCCACCAATGGGGGCTTCCGCAGTGGCAGTGGCTCGCTGCACTATGGAGCCAAAAGCCACTTGCGAGTTATTGGCTGAAGCGGGATGTGTAACAGCTCTTGGAAAGACTCCCATTGAGGAAGGGAGTTTGGCTCTAGGCTGGGGATGAGCATTCCCCTACACTGGACATAGGGAGGAGGATGCGGCAAAGGGCAAGCTGGGGTTATCTGTGCCACTGCTATGGCTGCCACACTGTATGGGTGATGCAAGGCAAACGCTGACCTCAAGACTGGTGTCAGTGCACCATGTTACCATGGGGAAGACGCTCAGAAAACCCTCTTAGGCCATTTGATTGTCAAGTCAGAGGATTCAAGGCTAGCAAGAATGAACTCTCCCAACCCAGGAAAGCACCTTTGCTCCCCTGAAAACAAGCCAATCAGGGCATGGGACAAGAAGATCCCAGTGCTCCCTGCAGCTTCATACAAGGGGTTGCCCGCAGCATGGGAGGAGGTTTTCCTTTCCTGTGAAATGCAATGGATTCTGATGGACCAGCAGGGCCAACCCTGCATGGACTTCTGTAAGAAACCACAAACACCCCTGCCTGTCAAACCTTGTTCTGCACCAGACTTACTGACATGACGCAAGGAGAAAAAGCAAGAGCAGAGAGGGGCAGAGCCTGCCATCAGCTGAATGGGAGGGGAAAAGCATGCTCAGTCTTTGGGTCATGGAAAAAAAAAGTCCACGATTTGCTGAAGTACCCTCTGGATGGGCACTGTGGGGTGGCAAGTTTCTTCTGCGAGGTAGGCTGGACATTAACAAATGTCCAACCTACCTCACAACCCCTTGTGCTTGGACACAAGTTATACAGGGGCACCTCTATGGATTTCAGTGGTGTTATTTCCTCCCCCTGATATCTTTCTCCACTTAGGCTGCTGCACCCCTGCTGCAAGTGCCTTCTTCCAGACACTGCCACACACTGAGAGGGGCCCTCCAGCACTTCTCTTGGTCACTGATTCTCCATCTTCACCCATTTCTCCATCCCTCCCCCCCACACACACACACTTCAACATAACTCTCTCCATTTGCTATAGCAATTGCTTCTCTTTGCAGGTCTGCTATTTAACTCTGCAAACAGCCTGGAGAAGCATTTTGCATGGAAGATGCTATAAATACACAATAAAGCAGTAATGTACTATACATGCACATTAGAGAGTCCCCAAACCCAGTCTCTTTCAAACCACCATTAAGCTCCTGGCTGCAGGGAATTTAATCAGTCCCTGCCTGGTGCTTGTGGGGGTTTATTTTCAGACCATTTGAGTTTATTTAAATAAAACAGATGTGTCAGCACTTTTGTGTGTGTCACGTTCTGTAGACAGGAGGAGACAGGGGAGAAAATGAGAAGATTGTTGACAGTGTAGGACACTGGAGACAGCAGCTCCCTCAGGAGCTAAAATGCATGGAGAGGAGACTGTGCCTGACCTTGCATTATCACAGGGAAGTGTAGCACTAGCATAAGGGCTAGGGGAAGGATGCTGGGAGTGCTCAACATTTCTCCAAGCCTCAAGTCTGCCAGTTTCCCCCTCAGGCCACAGAATATTGCCAGGAGGCAGGCAGAGAAAAGACTAGAAGGGTGATATTTAGAGAAACACTGTGAATGTCTAGGCCTTAAAAATAACCTCCTTGATGACTGCTCTGCAGCTGAAGCCTCTTATCGCAACCCCAGGGAAGTTCTGTTCAAGAACAAAAACCAAACTGGATTTCTCCACTAGACATGTTTGAATACAGCAAGAAGATACCCTACCTATGCTCTCTCTACTGTAAATAAAGTGGGGCCAAGAGAATGATGCCCCTCAGTGTGGGAAGAAGGATGCTGTTAGGATGAGACCTAGAGGTGAAGAGAGAAGGGGAAGAGACCAAACAAGAGAAGCAGGAAGGAGAATAAACAAGTTCTTCACTGGGAAAAGGTGGACGTCCCTCCTCAGTAGCCCAGGGCAGGGCATACATCTTCCCAGACAGTTGGGTGGGGCATCCTGTCTGCACATATCTGGCACAGAACAGTTGCTAACCCCATGTACCAGCTTCCAAGTGGGGACAGATTTTATGGTATGCAATTTATCTACCAGTATTAACATATGGATGCAGATAGGTAAACACCCATTAGCTGTCCCTCACTCCCTCATTCCTTACCCCTGTCCTGCCATGGACAGGACAAGGGGCTGCTCTTCAGGACCTGCACGGCTAGCCATTTTCCTGGTGGTTTTGGACACAGCAATAGCAGCAGCTGCCACTCTCTCATGGGGTAATGGGAGAGCCTTTGAGAAAGAGAACCCCTAGCACAGGGGGTAGGCAACCCCCAGCATGCATGCCAGAGCATGGCACGTGAATGCATTTTGCTTTGCATTTTCACCTCAGGGAAGGGGCTATGGCTGCACTGCTACAACAAGGATCGGGCCCCTCACGGCTCCCCCGCCACCTGCCCCAGCATGCCAACTTCTTACCAGTCAAGATTGTAGGAGTTTTTGGCACTCTGCTCAAAAATATTGCTGTGACTCCTGCCCTATCAGGACCTGGGGCAAACTGGCCTTTTGCTTCCTCTCTCAAATCATCTCCTTTAGTAGTACATGTGACAGAGCCAGCTCAAACCAGAAGTTCCAATCTTAAAGTTTGCTAATAGGGGGAAAGGCCCCAGAGCGGAAGCTAAAGGCTCTGGCTATTTGGAGCATCCCTTTCCCTAAGTGCTCAGTAAGCTTCTGTGTTGATCCCTGCATCTCTTCCAGCCAAAGTGACTACCAGCTTTCCTCTGTCCAGCACAGCTAAGGAGCTGTCCAGCTGGATACCTGCTGAAGAGCAGCACCAGGGCAGAACGGGAGATTTCTGGAGGTTGAGTTTGCAGACACTGTCTTCTGGTCAGAAAGGCTCAGGCCTGGCAACAGAAAGAGGGAATGGAATGGTTCCTAGCAGATGCCCACTGCTGTAGCTGACTGCAACAGACTCTTTACTCCCCCAAGATGAGTTGCGTTTTGCTATTCAACAGAAGCAAGCAGCAGACAGAGCAGGTGACAGAGAGCCAGTGCTGCAGCATCACATGAAAGCAGCTACTTGCTCCCATCCATTCCATTTTGTAGTATTGATCCAAGACCATCTCTCCATCACTGCTACTTCTCTCTACAGCTGCCCAGTGACAGGGGTGGACTACACTCACTAGTTCAGTGCTTCGTGAGCATTTATCAGTATATTAGCTGTCTTGAGCCCTGATTGGTACTTAACTGCCTGATTGTACTTCCTAAAGATGCCCTGTATTGCCTTTCCAGTGGCCTTAAATTTGGGCCCCTTGGTGCCAGAACATGCACTTAGGATTCCCAGAGTCCTTAAGACAAAAGTTCAGTCAAACCAAGTAGCAGGGTCAAGACAGACCCTGTCACTTCTCAGTCACTACTTTAAATCCAAGCCAGATCAGCAGTACGCAGAGGTGAGCAGCTGCTGCCCAGTGATGATTAATGGCTTGACTGAAATGACCTTGTGGCCCCACTCAAGCTTCAGATTCAGCCCTCCATATCTGAAGCTGGCATCCTCAGCAGCAAGATGGAACCTCAGGTAGCAGCGGTCCCTGGCTCTCAGCCGGGGGTAAGAGTGGGTGACTCAGTATAAACCAGTGTGGGTGGCTTGCCTTGCCTAGTCTGTGGAGGAACAGAAGGTCTGTATCTACATCAGCTTGGATTTTGTTTAAAAGAGTCTTGGGGGAGAGTGCACTGAGAAGGAGCAGGGAAGCAAGTTTTATGCCCACTCTCCAAGTTCATGCTCTTCTCATGATGGAAATAAAAGGTTAAAAAAGGATCAATCAATATCAAAATGTTTAAAGGAGCAAGAATAGATGAAGAAAGAGAGTAGCATGCAGGACCATTCAGCTGCTTCTACCTGGGTCCCTTTTTTTCCTGGAAGAACACAGGCACCACTCTCCTTTCTTCCTCCAACCCATTGCTACTGGTTGAGACTTGCTCAGAAAAGGGGAGATTTGGCCAAGTTTTTGGATAAAGCTTGATATGTGTGAACAGGAACATCCAAAACCCCCCTGCACTCCACCCCAAGAAAGGTCCATTTCTAATACTTCCTTGCCTCCTTGCAGATAACAATGCTGTTTTCTTTCAAGTCACCCATCTGCCGGTTTGTGCCTTGATTTAACATAACAAGAAAACCCACACACAATTCATGCTCCCATGCATACTCCCACTTCTTAAGGTCAAATGACTATTTCCATTATCCTCATTTTAAATCAAGCAAATGCTGACTTCTTGGGATTCTTTGCATTTCATAAGACACTTATTGCCATTTCCAAAAACAATGAGTAATGACAATTAGAGAAGCAGAGAAGCACAGCCCCTTGCTGCCTCATTTTCAACCCCGAAACGCTTGGCTTTAAAACGACTCATGCAGTTACTGGTTTTATGACTTGGATAGCTACAGGTGCAGAGGACACTGGTCTGCAGTCTCACTGGGCTTGCTCTGACAGTGGATCTCATTTTCCCAGATTGTTACTGTTCTTCCTACAGCCCTTTTGGTGTCTCCTGCTGTAATTCTGTTTCTCCTCTTGCTGACATTGCAGACCTCCTTCCTGGAGAGGATGCCAACCCCTTGATGCAGCCTAATATAGACAAGGTTATCATGCAGCACTGTGAGCCTCCATGAGGCATTATTAGCCTCTGGTTATATAACATCCGCAAGAGGATGGGGATGGCTGACAATCCCAGCAGTAGCAGCATTCACATTTGGTAGCTGCTACTCTAGACTTTTGCTGTCAAAATTCCCGAGATGGATAAGTGCCTGGCAGTAAAGCAATTTCCCCTTGCTCGGAAGCCAAAGGGCTGGTGGAGCTGATATGGAAACACAGTTCTTTGTAGATGCCAAGGCCTTTCATGCTACACCTGACATTGCTAGAGCACCTTTCATCCCACAGGACCTTAAAGTGCTTCATAGATCACATACAAGGAGATGTCTTCACCCACCACTGAAATGCAGCCTCCACTCAGATGGAAATTTGCCATCTGAGTGGTGGTGATGCTCTCCCCTACCTTGGGGGTCTTGAAGAGGAGGCTAGACATGCACCTGTCTGGGGCTGTCTGACCCCAGCACTCTTTCCTGCCCAGGGCAGGGGGTCAGACTCGATGATCCGAGGTCCCTTCCTACCCAAACATCTATGAATCTATGCCAGCCATACTGCTTCAGCAGCACCACACAAGTATTTATACTTTTAGCTGCTTTTCTTGCTCTTTCAGAAATGGGAAGAGAGGATGGAAAAGAAATGGCAGTAGGTGCAATCTAAACACCTGTGTAAGATCTGAAACCAGGGCACTAGAATCTGCAGTGGAGTCATGGTGTTCTCATGACATTCTTGTTTAAGGAAGTTGTTGAGCTTTTTATTTTAATTCCAGATGATTTACAGTTCTGAGGCGGCAAAAAGTGATCCTGCAGAAACAAGGGAGCTAACCCCAGTCCCTGTCAGGATAAATGGTCCGGAGCTGAAGTGGAACATTTACATTTTAAGTTGAAATCAAAGATTCATTTATTATGATGCTGACTAAGACTGCAGAGAAATCAGCTGCTGCAGTGTGCCAGTAAAGAACAGCTCTGTATCAACACACC